CTCTGACTGACAATAAAATTCGATTTCGCAATTAATGCAACTGAGATTTAGTGATGACGCAGTCTTGTTTATTGAGTGGTGTGGAACATAACCTATCTTCGCATGATGTTGATGGCTACCATGTTATGACTGTTGAGAGACAATCCCCGCAGATCGTAGACTTCATAATAGTCGTTTTGGCGATAGTAATGGCGGAATTAGTTTCGGCACATTAGTTTTGCCCCTCTTCACTTTTGAGCCATAGGCCGGCTTGGATCGCGTAAGTAACGCACTGTACCGATAGTAACAAGGATTTCAGTATTTTTACCACGTTGTGAACGAATGAGTTTGCGATCGAAGTGTACTGTATGGAACGGTGTCGTTACTTTTTCTATAAGACGTAGCAATCTAAATAAGCTTTCGTCTATATAAAGTCTTATAATACGAGGGGCGATCAAATATGAACGAGCCTTTATTGACTAAGCATCGGAAAAATTATTTGTGTGTGGTTGGGCAGTTGAGGTCGTTAGGTGGAGATGCCTAGAGATGGGGAACCAAACCCGTCCTTTGTTTACTACAGTGTGGCCAGATCGGGGAAATTAAAGGGAACACAGTTTATCCTCTCCCTGGCATTATCGTTAGATTGTGCGGTGTTAGCGGAGGTTGTTGGAGAATACCCGCTGATGAGGAATGAGGTAGTGAAAGGGTAAGACGAAGTGGGGAAAACGCAACCGTTTAGTTGCTTTCTAGCTTCACTGGTTTAGTAGCTCTCATCGTGAGTGAGAATTAGTGAGAAAAGTGTATTTACCCGTGTCTATTGAGTAACGCATAATTATGAAGTTCCTCTTCCGTGAAAACGTGAAACCAGCGGAAATTTACCACAGACTGCAGGCTCAGTTCGAGAACAACGCCCTTTCATGTTCAAGAGTGAAGGTTTGGTACAATGAATCCAAGCAAGGTCGTGGACGTGTTGCGAATCAAGCTCATCTACATCGTCCTTGCACCAGTACGACTAATGAAAACATTGCGCGGTTTTTTGGAAATGGAGGGGAATCCTACTGGTGGATTTCTTACATAAACGTCGGACCATCGACGCAACCTACTACTGCAGCCTCCTGGATCAAGTTGGAATACAGTATCGACGCAAAAGACAAGATTGTCCCTTCCGCGAGGTGTGCTGCTCTACGACAAGACCAGGCCAGCAGATGTAATGCACTTGGAAACGTTTGACTATTCACCTAACAGTCCCGACTTATTACTATGTGACTTCTACATGTTCGAATTCCTCAAAGAAGCATTTGGGGGCGAGTGATCGAAGACCAACGATCAAATGGAAACGTTCGTGCGCGGCTGATTAGATATCCGCCCATCTTCATTCTGTGAGAACGGAATGAAGAAACTACCAAAATGTTAGGAAAAATGTATCATAATAGGAGGAGATTATGCAGAAAAATAATTTGTAGAAATGTAGATGTTTTCTATAAAATAAATTTTGTTTAAATAAAAGGCTCGTTTATATTTCATTGATCCTCGTATATACAAACAATTGAGGTAAAATCGGACATACTTAGAGACGAATTTTCTTATTCTCTTGAATCTATAGCTCCCTCGTACCTTACTATGTTAAACCTGGATAACTTAGGTACACCTCACTTATTCTCTTTTTTGGTCTTTCGAAACATGATACCTCTTTTAAGAAACACTACTTATAAGAAAATCTAGGCGAAGGGAAAGTCGAACGCTAATTGTCTGCGTTTCGTCAATGCGTGCCGTCTTAACCCTTTGAGTGCTGAATACTTCCAGCCGAAATGTTCCGTGTGGATGGAATATTTTGTTCCTCATCTGAAGACGGATGAGTTATGTTACTTCATACAATGAATTAAGTTGTAATTAAATTGTAATTGTAATTCCTCAGTTTCGCGAAATTGAATAATGCTAAGAAATGCGTATATTAACACTATTCCTACCACGACAGGTCAAGTGACCGTTTTTAAAACTTTGATTAGAATTTCCTATATACAACGTAATTGAATCGCCTTTAAACTTCACAACTTTTCCTCAAATATACGTATAATACATTTTTCAATATTCACTTCTTTTTTTATTGTTTATTTTCTGAGAAAAATTTGTTGTTTGTCTTACCTACCACGACCGGTCACTTGACCGGTAGAACGATTTATATCTTTTTGTAATGGTATTCTCTCGAAAACTCAATTCCGAAACTATAAAGTCGTTACAAAGGAGAGGTAATGCAGTGGTGGCATGATTTTAGCCGAAATGTGCCTTTTAGGGACTGCTTTACGGCACTTCCAAGTGTTTACAGTTCTCGCTTGCCTATCGGCCTCGGTAAAATCGGTAAAATCTAAATGTCGGAGATGGCTTTTACAGGTATTTTTCAATATCCTAAACATAACAGGGATAAATGCATGGGTTTTATATAAAGAAACCACTGGAGAAGAAATTTCGAGATAAGAATTTTTAGTAAGACTAACAAAATCTATCTAAAATGTAAAAAGTACGTATGTGGAAAACGTAAAAACGAATAAAATATACATTATATACTTCTGAATAAAAGAAACTATATTTTTATACTGTCATATTGGCTAGTATCTTAATTCTATATTGAAAGATATAAGTTGTGCTAAAGACCGGTCGCGGTAGGAACAGGTATACGTGAAGTGTCGGTAGGAATAGTGTTAATCGTATACACTTTTGTATAATTGTTGCTATTGCATATGTGAAATTAAAAGCATTGAAAAACGCATATGTGCCCATACGCTCAAAGAATTAAGGGGAAGCGTTCTCGAGTTTCGAGGTGCAATAAATAAAACGAAAACCACGCAGACGAAGAGGGTCCTCCAACTAAACAGTGCCCTTTTCAGAGCACTCGTTTTATAGCCTCCAAGACGACAACGTTGTATTAAAAGAACTTTCTATCTAACAGTTTCAAAAATTATTTAAGGCCACAAACTTCTATCATACATACTTGTCAAAATATTGTTTAGTATATAAAACTGATTTTAATATCTGACGAATGACTTCGAGGTTCTGATCCTTGATTTAAGTAACTTTGATCTGTTTTGCTTTGCAATTAGTTTTGTCGCTTGCGCAGCATTCTACCGGGTTCTTACTCAAATAGTGAGCCTGCTTTGCTCCCGGACGATAAATGATGTCAAAGTTATAATTTTGTAAGTACACTTGGGAAATCACTTGATTGTTAGGTTCAATCATGTGAGTCTGATTGGTCAATTCTCATTTTTCTACGATGCTAATTGCTATTGGTCAATACGATTATGCGTGATCAATTAAAACTATAAGCAAAATACAAAATGGAAGATCCCGTTGCCCTTGTGTCGCTCGCTAGACATCAAGTGATCTCCCAACGGTGCACTCACCAGTGAATTACTCTTGGTTGAATATTTTTCTTATTATCGGTGATACGGATTGCAGTACAATTAGTTGCTACTGTGAATTTAACCAGTTAACTGCGTTTGACGAGTATACGCGTCATCTTAAAACTCTAAATGGTGCTAACTTTTTCAACGATGGACTATTTATTTTTTTAGGCAAAATGTAATTCTTCTTCGTTTCGTTTTAATTTTTCGTTACAATATATTATAAGTGCATTTGGCCTGCATTTGAGGAGTATACACTTCATTATTTAATTTTATTACGCGCAGAATAAGAGATTTTTGAAATTAAATTCCATACTTGAGGAGTTAGACCCTAGGAAATAGAACCTCAACGCTTTAACGCCATAACCACCTTTAGTGTCTCTAAATCGTCGTCGCGTCTACGGCTGTAATACTTGACAATTCCTTTCGCATCGCTGTGTCGCTGAAATAACATTCTCATTCGCAAGATCAGATCCATAATAGCCAAAATGGGTCTACCAATTAGGATTTGTCTTATCTGGCTAACCGTCTCGGATTCTCTAGCTCTCCATTTTCAAAGTGCATCTTTACTCATGAGATCATTTAATCCTTTAACGTACCAATTAAAAATCAGAAAACGGCCATTTTTCCACCAATTTTTTATTATTTATTTTCTTCATATACATAAAAGAATATTAACAAATCTAGTAAAAAAACACAAAAATGCCTCTTGCTAAAAAATTAACTGAACTGTGTACTGATAAGATGAAGTTTGTTTTAAACAAATTTTACTTAATTAATACATTCCTCTAACTACATGATAGTAAATTAATAAAATGTGTCCAAAGAAGAAAGATTTGAATTCAAACTGAATTACAATTTGAATAAGATTTACAGGATAGAGGTAGTCGATATAAACAGAAAAATATTATCGATGCAAACAAATGCTTTGGACTTGGGCACACATTTTTTAATATTTCTGGCAGGTACACGTATAAACTGAGTTAAACTATCTAGCCACTGGATTCTAGCATATAATAAGAATAAATATGTCAAATAAAAATATTAGGGTATGAAATACTAGATATTACGGCTGAAAGTATTTGACCGTGACATGACCTTGAAATGTCCTGCAAAGATCACGTCACAATTCGTAAATAGAATCCTATATTTTCTATTCCATATTTTTGAAGCCCGTATTCAGACCTTCCCAAACCATAGAAATACAATTTTTCGCGTAAGCCGTTATCAAGATATCAGCATCCAAATTTGTCGGTTCGCCGATAGTGATGGTAGAAGATATACATAATTTTATAATTAACAAGGCACATTGATAGAAGAATGACGAAATCAATGGACTTAGAATATGGCACATTATTTTTTATCTACGCTAATTCATTTTTTTCTTCTCTATTTTGGTTTTATTTTCTTTTACCTATGACCCTATTTTTTCCTTCCATTCCTTAACACCTTTTCTCTTCATATTTATTAATTTAATTATTTTTCTTTCTATATCTTTTGTATAGACCATAATTATCAACTTTCTACTTTAATACTTTAATACTGGTTTTGTATTTAAATTACACGATACCAAGCCCTTTATTGACTTCGTAAATTGATATATTGTATGGTTTTGTATTAAAATAGGAATACCTGGATGGAAGAAGTTTAACCAGTGGCTCAGGTTCTGGTTTACCATTGCTGGTACAAAGAACGTTGGCTAAGCAAGTGTCATTGGTGGAATGCCTTGGTAGCGGCGGTAATGGTGGATTTGGTGGGGAAGTTTGGAGAGGCGTTTGGCATGGCGAAAATGTCGCAGTAAAAATCTATTTTTCACGCGACGAAGCAGCATGGGCACGAGAGACGGAAGTTTACTCGCAATTACTACCCTCCAGACACGATAATATTCTTGGTTACGTTGGAAGTGACATGACAAGCAGAGCGAGTTGTACCCAACTTTGGTTGGTGACCCATTATCATCCAATGGGCTCACTTTTTGATTACTTAAGCAGAACACATCACTCTCTGATGCATCATCAGATGCTCAATATCTGTTTGAGTATCGTGAATGGCTTGCTATATTTACACACGGAAATTCACGGAACCAGAGGAAAGCCAGCTATGGCGCATCGTAATCTAAAATCTAAGAACATTCTTGTTAAAACCAATGGCAGTTGCGTAATTGCTGACTTTGCCCTAGCAGTGACGCAAGATCGTCTATCGACGGATAGAATCGATTTGAAACAAGGTACAAAGAGATACATGAGTCCGGAGATCCTTGATCAAACGTATGTATTACTTTTTATTTGCTTCATTGTGTATTAATCTAGGGATGCGCGGGTAAAGTGTGATTCTGACGAGATGGCAGGCTACGCGTGAGCGATCAGGACCGAGCGGAAAGACGACTCTTCCACTCACAATGTTTGGGCCGCCTCAGTCTTTAATGCATGGTTATTATTAGCACGTGGCAATAACAAAGGACGAAAGCGAGACCGAGTGCGACGGAATAAGATGTGACGATAGAGAACGAAGTTGCCGGCACTATGGACTTTAATCTCTATCGTTACATCTCACTCAGTCACATTTAGTCCCATTTCCGTTCTTTGTTACTACCACGTGGCCAACTTCGATCATGCGTCGAAGACCGAAGCGGCCCAAACATTGCGAGTGGAAGAGTCATCTGACCACTCGGTCCTGATCGCTCGCGGGTAGCCTGCCATGTCGTCAGAGCCTCACTTTACCCGCTATTTCGGTCCGAGCCGGAAAAATTCGGGCTGGCTCAGGCGGGTGCCTATGGTATTGCAATATTCAGGCAACCCGAGACCGTATGAGCAGACTACTACTGTCAGTCAGTTGACGGGGCGTCATACATACTGTCACTTGCTGGCGACCTGGGACTCTCTTCTGACTGATCAGATTTGAAGTTACACGCCTTGCCCGCACAGATTTTCCGCTCTGGATTCGCTGAGACGCTCACGCACACTAATCGGGTCGCGAAGACAATACAAAGAGCGCGAAAAGCCGTTTTCGGACTCACGATTGGATTTCTCGGAGCGACTGCTTTTGCGCCTATGACGTTACGAGTGCCAGGATCCCAGCAACTGACGGTACATAACTAACATACAACTCTCTTCGCTGAAATAATTTATTTACGCCGTCGATCGTCAAGTAGCCGATGATTGGATAGTAGCCTATCCAAATGTTCTCGGAAAGTCAGTGTTATAATGCCACAGACATCCGCCCGAAGTTTTCCAGCCAGGTCCGAACAGTCCGGTACCCGACATATTAGGCGATTTGCACACGCGTATTTAATACTTCTTATGCAGTAGGACCCCGGACTTACGTCCTCATTGGTTCTGAAATAGACGACGTAAGTCAAAGAGGACGTAAGTCGGGATATACAGGGTAAACATGTATGTTTGTATGCGAACATGAATATAACTATGTAGGTGCACGTATTTATTAGATTAGGCAGTACATTTTCTTTTAAATGTACAAAAATAATAGAAGAGACCACATGTAAAGTTTATATATTTATAAATAATAGACATATATAATTACACGAAAAGTAATTTTATATACATCTGATATAGAAATTTCATTGCATATAGTCCATCATGATTGTCTGTCGAGATTTCTTCTTTTCTCTTCAAGTTGTCGGTAACACTCGATGAATCGTTCAATTTGATTTATTGCCATTAATGATCGTTCTTCATCAGGATCGATATCTTTTACAATATTTACACCTATTTCAATTAATTGAAGTCCTTCTTGTAATTTTGGTAGCGACATCGTCTTTTCCGTGATTTCAGTTGTATCTTCAGACTTCGAAATTGCATTGTTATTTTTTATTTCGATGGGATCTTCAGTATTGAGTCCTCTATCGTGTCATTCTAATAAGTCGATAACATTTTCTACATCCATTTCCAAGTTAAGTCCAGATGCAAGATTAACGATTTCTTCACCCGTTTGCGTTATAGCAGTATCAGCCAATGGTGTATGATCATTTAAAAAAAATGCACAGAACTTTTCTCATACAGCTTGCAATGTTTTATGACTCAATTAAATCCATGAGTCACCTATCATTTTTACTGTGTTCAGTATATTAAATGATTTCTAAAAATCTTTTACAGATATATTTATATTTTTCGTGCAAATGTTCGTCGAGCATAATACGCTTTAAAGGTTTTTATAACTCCTTGATCTATAAGTTGTATTAAACTTGTCGTAGTTGGTAGTAGAAAGATTATATTTACGTGGGAATCAATAATTTTTAAAATATTTAGTGAAGAGCAGTAGCATTATCTAGTGGTAATAATACTATAAATGGAATGTTTTAGGAAACACAATATTGTTTAACTTTGGGTATAAAATGATTTAACAACCAATCATGAACAGTAGCAGTTATAATCCAAGCTTTGGAATTAGATTTCCATATCACAGTTAGTTTAGATTTATCAGTTATAGATTTAACACTAAAACTACCAGATGAGTCAAAGTGACCCACTCCTGATTTCTTATTTTTACAATTATGGAAAAGATAACGTTTCTATGAGAAATGGTTAAAGAAATTGATCTGGCAATACACAAATTGAATTGTAAGTCAACTAAAGTCTCAGTAGATGCACTTTTGGAGTTTCTATAGAGAAATTACAAAAATTCAATTTAAGTGCTTGGTAGTTTTAATGTTAAATGCTCTGGAATTTTTTGCTCTACAAATTAAAAGAAGTTTCAGTTTACAGTCTCCGGTAGCATTTCCAGCAATTATTACCGTAATTCGATCTTTTGAAATTTTAAATCCAGGAAGCTGTTATTCTTCGCGAGTAATGAAAGTTCGCCTGGGTTTCTTCCAAAATAGCCCCGTCTCATCTACGTTAAAAATAGTTTTGTCAGAATATAATACTTGATCAAAAATTATCTTCAATTTTTCTGAAAAAGAATTGACGGTTGTTCGATCTGCATTCGTATTTTCTTCAGTGCGTGCAATATTACGAAAATCCCAACGTCTTTTGAAACGATCAAATCAACCATTGCTTGTCACGAAATGAATCTTCTGATTCATCTCTTAACTTATAAAAAATTAGTTTAGTCTCCGTTGGATATTGTTCCTCGATCGAATGGGCACTTCTTGACACGTAATTAATTGTTGCAATATAGTTTTAATAAAGCTTTTATATCAAAGCTTTAAGAATCGTCCTCACAATTGTCTTTGGTAAATTTACTTTTCGACTAATCTCAAAACCTTTCATTCCACTATGAAAAAATTTTATTATTTCCCAATTTAGTTTCTAAATTTATAGTATTTTTTTTTAGTAATAGAATTTAAGGATGATGACACCTGACGGTGTGATGCTATTATACATACGTAAATAATAGTCTCAGTTCTCGATTAATTGCACTTGTGTACTTATGTTCAATGGAAATATATTTTTACAAGCTCCTACATTATATATAAATTATGTACACTATACAAAGTCCGTCAGCAAAATTCAAACAAAATTCAAATTAAATCTCCGTACATTTCGCTACATGTGATTTCAGTAGTATGTAGATGTTTATTTTTTTCGAATAAGCCATGTATGCTAAAGGCTCCCATATATGTTGAAACCTGTGGCGATGACAGGCACCGATACAAATGCTGGGTTTGAATTTTTCAAAGTTTTATAATACATGTTGTACTCAAACAAAAAGCGAAAAAGGGCCAAACCCATTGCTTATATACATATAAGAAATGACCGGGGTCCAGGTCAATACAGTGCGTAGTTACGGCCCTAAATAGCCCTGGCCGGCGAGCAATGGCCGTGTAGCGCCGAAGCTCTGTGCACACGCTCTTCACGGAGATTTTCTTAACTTGTCCGAAAGAAAAACCGTTCTCATGCGTCCCACAGGGAGGTTCCTCTTCAGAAATGTCTACAGAATCCCATGCTGCATAGCAAATTCGTACTAGCCAAACCACTTTTCGTAAAAATGTAATAGAAGTGCGTACAAAGTACGCACATTTACCCTTTTTTTATACTTTGATTGTCATTTACAAGCATTTAGTGGCACGCAATATTCAAAGTTTTTATAGCTACATATTTAAGCAACTCTCCTTTACTTTTTGCGACAAATTTTAACTGCCTATCGTTTTTAGTTTTCACGTAACACTTGGTTTTCTGAAAAATTCGACCGTTTTTACAAAAACCCATTTTTTTCGAAAACTGGACGTGATCCAGCAATTTGATTTTGGGATTCGTATTTAGAGTAAGGAACTCTATGAGAAGAAGTGACCGCAAATTTCACTGTGACACTAGTTATCAAGATCCTCTACTCTCTCATGAGAACTTCAACAGGAATTTGTAAAGGAATCAACCATTTCCCACCTCTGATTCCTTACCAACTTTTATCTCTGTAACGAGTAGAATACGATACGGCGATTAAAAATTATAAACCTTTCTTTCAAGGTTACAATGAATTTTGTGGTCACTTCCTTACATTTTTTTCACGTGTACTTAAATAAGACACGTGGAAAATATTTAATTATGCATATATACCTTAATATATCTCTATTTTAATTTAGGTAATATTTATAACATTGATATTTATTTACGGATCGAAACTATAGTTTCGCGAATTCTAATATTCTTGATAGAAAAAATTAATTCGAATATAATTTTTGTTAAGAAAGTTTACACAGTTAATTCTCTATAATAAAATACGCATCGGTATATAAACATTGCTATACTAAACCGTATTACGTTTCCATTGAAAAGAAATTAGAGGTTTTTAGCAGTGGAGTCTTATTTTTTGTCGATGTAATCTTACGATGTGGGTTATTAGCCGAGTCAGAACGAATTTTATTCTTCGGAATCAGTTTCTTACTGAAACTATCAGATGAACCAGCAAGACTTTTATATATTTCATATATTACAACACCTTTATGTGCACGATCCTTAAAAGACTCAGAGAGGACATTTTTAATAGTGATAGCAGTGATGAATATTACCTTAAATTTGACATAATAGAAGATGACGACAGTGTTTTATACAGTGGAAGCGAGATTGGTATAACAAGAAATCAGTTAAAACGGTTCAATATATCCAGCGATAGTGACAGTGATGATGAACCAAATATTAATGAAAATAATGCAAGCCCTGAAAATGGATAGGAGAATGTTACATTTCAAGATATTATTCCACAAAAAATACAATTTACATCGAAATCACAAAACCCTGGTCCACAGATAAGCCACAGAATTGAATTTGAAGTTCCAACCATATTAGAATTCAGAGGTAGTTGCTAATTGACG